TTCGTCCAAAATTTTTCTTTTCCTATTGGGTTTTGTTTCTTTGGCGCAAGATTTTAATGAGACAAAAATTATGTATCATCACTTATTAGACTCGGTACAAGGGGGAACTTTGAAAGATTGGGTGTCATAAATGAAATGATTTAAAAGTATTAATTATTACCATAATGGTTGTTTTTCTTTTTCACCGTAAACTCTTCCTTGTAAAAAAAAAGTTATGATTAATGAGAATCATAAATTTCTTTGCTCTGTTGTATTATTGTTCTATTTCGTTTTTTATATAACAAAAACCTTAATTTATGCAATATATTTAAGATATTTTAATGTAGACTTTATAGGGAACATTATGATGATCCCAACTAACCAACAATTAGATATAGATCGGATTTTAAATCAATTATTCAATTATTATTATTTTTAAAATCGTTAATTAATAACATTCATTAGAATATAGGTGTACATTTTTTTTCAAACATCAAGATAATTTATTATCTAACCTTAGATAACAGATACAAGATGCTGACTTTTGTTAAACTCCATCTAATCATTTTGATCAAATTAACATATTTCTGGATGATCTTTTAATTCTCTCTCTCTATATCCTAATTAATACAACATGTATTATATATATTTATATATATATATATATAGAGAGAGAGAGAGAGAGATGGAGGGTTGGGTTCACGTGTGACCAATGGTTTTTCATGAGACCCGTAAAACCAATTTATATTGATCAACTTTATAAACTAACGATCTAATGGTTTAAAGTTGTAAGGTGGCAATTTTATGATTATTGAGAAGTCCCGTGGTAATTTTGTGATTATAATTGTTCAGATTGTAGATCTAATCCAATGATTGAGAACTGGTCTTACGGGTCTCATAAAAAACTCTTGGTCTTACATGATATCAGTATATATATATATATATATATATGTGTGTGTGTGTATATATATATATATGTATGTATATATAGAGAGAGATTAGTCTTAATTTGCCTTTGGAAACAAAATCATTGTCAACAACCTTGACCTGACCCAACCTACCTGTGAGTTCTCACCACTAGCTAGACCGCCATGGACATCAACCCGGGAATATGCAGCGATGCTAGCCATTGATGAGAGCTGATGATGTTTTGGTTTGTGGAATCATCGGCCAACATTTGCATGTTTTAAGGATTTCCTATTAAACACAACCACGTCTCCTTAAATTCATAGGAATCTTTTTCTTAATTCATTACCTACCAGGAAACATGCATGCATGCTTCTATCATAATCAATATATATATATATATAT